TGGTGTGTAATTCTTTTTAGACGTTGCTGGATTCTGCTAATGTTTTGTTAAGGATTTTTGTGTCTAAGTTCATGAGAGATACTGGTTTGTAGTTATCTTTTTTGTACTCTTTGTCTGGTTTTGGTATCAGGACAATATGAGTTGGCAAGTATTCCCTCATACTCTGTTTTCTGGAAGAAATTGTATAAAATTGGTGTTAATTCTTTTTTAAATGTTTGGTAGGATTGTCCTATGAAACCATCTGAGCTTGGAGATTTCTTTTTTGCAAGTTTTAAAATTAGCAATTCAATTTCTCTAATGGTTATAGGACTATTCAGATTATCTATTTCATCTTGGTTGGGTTTATTTACGTAGCTTGTGTTTTTCGAGGAATTGGTCCATTTCTTCTAATTGTTGAATTTATGAGCATAGAGTTGTTCTTAGTATTCCCTTATTATCTCTTTAATATCTGTAAGATATGTAAAATACTACCGCTTGTTCCATTCCTGATATTGGTGATTTGTGTCTTCTCTCTTTTTATTTTTATCAGCTTTGCTAAAGGTTTATCGCTCGTACTTATTTTTTCAAAGAACCAGCTTTGTGTTTTATTATTTTCTCTATTGTGTTCGTGTTTTCAATTTAATTGATTTCTGTTCTTATCTTTATTATTTCCTTCCTTATTCTTGCTTTGGGTTGATTTTGCTCTTCTTTTCCTAGTTTCTTGAGGTAGGAACTTGGATTATTGATTTGAGACCCATCCTCTTCTGTAATGTAAGCATTTAGGGCCATAAAATTTCCTCTTGGCACTTCTTTAACTGTATCCTATATATTTTGATAGGCTGTGTTTTCATTTTCACTTATTTCTTTTTTTTTTTTAATTTCCTTTGAGACTTACTCTTGGAACCATGAATTACTAAGGAAGTGTGTTGTTTAATTTCCATTATTGTTATTGATTCCATTAATGTCAGTGAACATACTTTATATGATGTCAATTCACTGCCAAGACCCCCCTGATTCAGGATGGAGCCAAACCTGGGCTCTGTGGCATATTCCACCTACAGTTGGAGCCCGCCTCCCCTGTCCTCAGTTCCTTGCTTGATGCCATAGTGCTGGAGGAGGTCACCCCTCCCCCACCCCCCGGGACTATCTGGGGACTTCCTTGGGATCAACTGTGCGAACACCAATGGGAGTTGATACACTTTACTACAACATTGTCACTGTCATATGTGATTGAGCTCAGTGGGATGTGCTGCTTTCCATCCCTTAATTAGGATATCTCTGATAAAGGACAGGACCCAGGAGTCAGCACAATTGGCCAAATTTTGGACATTCATCTTAGCACTGGATGCCCTGGTCAACAATTGGCCACATCTGTATGTCTTTACAAACTCTTTTAGGGCCATTGCATAAGAGTTTCCCCTTTGGGAATCACTTGCCTCACAGATACCCAATAAATCAAGGTCACACATGTATCTTCATATACTAAGACCACAATGCAGAGCCTCACCAGAACATTCCTTATCCCTTTAGGCATTCAGACATTACTGATAATGACCAAGGCACTCATTCCACTTCTCAGAATGCACAATGCTGGGCTCTCGAAGAAGGCATTCAATGGGACTCCCACCTCCCCTATAAACCTCAGGCAGTCAGTTCAATAGAGAGGCATAAATGGGCCCCTCAAAGAACTCAGATTTAAGTTTGTTGTTGTTAGTTGCCATTGAGTACAACGGCTCCATAGGGTTTTCAAGGCTGTGATCTTTCAGAAGCTGATCCCCAGGCCTATCTTCCAAGACGCCCCTGGGTGGGTTCAAACCGCCAGCCTTTCGGTTAGTAGCCGAGCTCTTAACCACTTACGCCACCCAGGGATTCTTTTGTTACAAAGTACTAATGGACCCCTGGCAAACTGGTGTCACGATTGGCTGATTTTTCAGAAGTAGGTTGCCAGGCCTTTCTTCCTAGTCCATCTCAGTCTTGAAGCTCTGCTGAAACCTGTTTAGCATCACAGCACCACGCGAACCTCTGCTGACAGATGGGTGGTGGCTGTGCATGAGGTGCATTGGCAGGAAATCGAATTCAGGTTTTGCATATGGGAAATTCTACCACTGACTCACCACCGCCCTAGGTGTTAAATGAACATAGGCAATTATGATTCAACCCCAGCTCCCAAAGTCAGCAAATATCACTGTACCTGAAGAAATCAGCAAGCCAAGGCAGCAAAGCCTTGAGGTCAGAGCGGACGGTGGTTCCTGGAAGATTGGAGGCCCTGCCAGCCCACCCCCGCCAGGTGGAGGTATAAGAAAATGGCTTTGCTTTACATGCTATCACATTTCACAGAAAGCATCCCTCAGTTTGGCCATGAGTGGGCCAGTCCTTCTCAAAGTCAACCCCAGGCCACCTCCTACCTCTCTGGAATTCCTGGAAGGTCTGACCCATCCCATGCTGTGTCAGAAGCTCTGCTTCTGCCCTCCAGCCTTTTCCTTGTTTCTCTTCCTGAGTAGGAATAGGTTTGAGGAGCCAGCATCACAAGGTGGGAAGTAAAAGCTGTGCCCGTTGTTCCCAGCTGTCCACGGACAAGGCATTGAGGAAGGAGCAGGGGATGCAGGTGGACACATGTGATTCCAAGGCATCAATGGCGCAACAGCTGGACTCTCTGGGTAAGGCTGGGTTGAGGCTCTGGGATCCTGGGGAGGAGGACACAGGGAGTGGCCAGCACAGGTCTCAGCTTGCCCAGGCTGTAAGTTGATGTCCTGCCCATTTCAGATGAGGAAGAACTGATAACAAGTAGTATCAGACATTCTTCGAAAGACTTTGGATTCCGACAGATTTGCTGCCTCAAGTACTTTGCAGGTAGAGCAGGATTAGAGGAGAGGGGCAGGGCAGGTTCTCCCAGACTCTTGGGACACCAGACTCCTGGGTTCTGAGAGAGGTGGAGGCAAGTAAACAGACTCCTCAGTACTGGGAGAAATGGAGGCTGGGGACTGGACTCCTGGGTCCTGGGGGAGGTGGAGGCTGGCAGACTGGACCCCTGGGTCCTGGGGGAGGTGGAGGCTGGGGACTGGACTCCTGGGTCTTGGAGGTAATCAAGGCAGGAATAGGATTCCTGAGCCCTGGGCAGGCTGAGGCAGTGGCACAGGGCTGCTGGAACTGCCCATTCTTCTTCTCCTCAGGGTGTCTGGGCCAGGGCTGCCCTCCCCTGGTGCTGCTGCTCCTCTTCCTCCCACTCGTCACTGTGCTTCTTGTGGCTGTCTTGGTAGAAGGTGAGGGGCAGGCCCCATGGGGGTCTGGGCTTGCAGTTCTGGGCCTTCTTCTGGGGACATACCTGGGGTGGCCAAGTCTTGAAGGGAGGTGAGGCTTAAAGATGTGACTTAGGTTCCTCCAGGGTTTCTCCTGTGCTGCTTGGAGGGTGTCTCCCACAGCCCCTTCCAATCCTCTGGTGCAGGAGAGGTAGGGGAAAGAGTAGGAGGAAAGGGAAAGGGAGTTAACCAAGAACTTGACTCAGAAACGGTGTTCTGGGGACTCACTGCAGGGCGTGGCACATAGTAGGTGCTCAATAATTGCAGTTTCTTTTCTCGGTACAGTCTCCAAGGTCCCTAAGGTCCCCAGTTCCAAAGACCTGGAGCATTTGAAGCAGGAGGAAATCTACCAGGAACTCACCCAGCTGAAGGCTAGAGTTAGTGAGTGGCTGGACACTGGAGTCCTGGAGCCAGAGAGGGTCTCTGAGCCTTGGTTTACTCGTATGTGAAATGGGAACACAGGGTAACAGTGATGATTGCATTTGGTGCTGGCAGAGGTCCAGGTACACAGTAGGCCCGAAATTAAGGCAGTCATCTACTTTCTCTCCTGAGCTCTAAAGTATCTAGTTTTCTCAATCTGGAGGAAACAGGGACCAGGACTCCTAAGTTCTTCTCAGGTGGGGAGAGGGTCTCAGGAAGTGGAAAGAGGATGGAACACCCAGGGTGTAAAGTCAAGGACTCTCCAAGGCTCCCAGGGTGTGGCAGCTACAGGGATATGAGCATCCAGACCTGGGTCCCAACCCTGAGCCATTCCCACCACCACCACCCAGATAGCCTGTGCCGCCCCTGTCCCTGGCAGTGGACATTCTTCCAAGGAAACTGTTACTTCTTCTCCAACTCCCAACGGAATCAGCATGACGCCATCACTGCCTGCCAGGAAGTGGGGGCCCAACTGGTCATAATCAAAACTGCTGAGGAGCAGGTATGCCTGGTGGGAGGCCCCATCTTGTCCTGGGCATGCATCTGGCCATAGATCAGCTGGGGAGGGAGGGTTTTAGGGGGCTTTCTGGAAGTGGGACACATTTCACTTGGAAAAGTAAGGAGGAGAAGGATATGAATGAGGGGGTCCCAGACACCTTGCAAAGAGGCTCAGACAAGAAGTGAACATGTGTGAATGCTTTTGAGGACACATAAAATGTAAGTAAGCCCCAGTAGTGTGCTGGTAAATGTTTAACAACCAACTCTCCAGTGAGGGGAAGGCTCTGATTTGTAGTGTTTGCCAATTTCCCTGGTGTAAATATTACCACTATGGCTAATTTCAAGCTATCAATGTGACATCACTCAGTGTGGAGCTGGGAAGAGATGTGCACAGTCATCTTCCACAAGCTGATACAATCTGGCTCCAGCACATTAAACCCAGTCATGTGTAAATTCACACGAACATGCTTAGAACATGGAAAACACATAAACATGCGGTGGCAGCAAATGTCTGTGATGAAATGCTGGAAGGCATGTGTGCTTGCAAGTCAAACACATGTGCCCATAGGATGCAGATGTGAGAGATACCCAGACATCTTGAGCACACCTGGGGGCTCAAAATCAGGCATATTAGGAGGCTGAAGTCTAGACCGAAAGAAAAATTTCCTGCCAAGAGATTAGGGAGACACTGGGTGTCTTAGTTCCCTAGTGCTGCTATGACAGAAATACCATAAGTGGGTGGCTTTAAATAACAGGAATTTATTTCCCCATAGTTCTGGAGGCTAAAAGTCCAAATCAGGGTCTTGGCCATGTTGATTCCTTCTGTGAGTCTCTCTCCTTATTTCTGGTGTCTGCCAGCAATGTTCGGTGTTCGTTTGCTTCTAGATGGGTCCTCACATGGCATCTGTCCTCTTCCTGTGTGTGTCTCTGTGTCTATTCTGCTCTTTTTACAACTCAGAAGTGATTAGGTTTAGGACCCACCCTGCTGTGATCTGACCTTATTAGCATAACAGAAGACCACCCTTATTTCCAAACAGGATCATATTTGCAGGTCCCAGGGGCAAAGAATTCAGTACATATTTTGGGAGGAGGGGGACACAACTCAATCCGTAAGACTGGGTCTGGAGAATGGAGGGCAGAGTTCCCTCCTGACCCTTCCTCTGCCCCCAGCAGAACTTCCTGCAGGTGCAGATTTCCTGGAGGAATTGTTTCACCTGGATAGGGCTCTCTAACTTGAAACATGAAGGCACATGCCACTGGGTGGATGGTTCACCTCTGCTGCTCAGGTTGGTCTCAGGAGAAGGGAACACCCTGTCACCTGCACGTGAGGTTCTGAAACTGTGACTTGAACTTAACCTAGAGGCCCTCCTCCACTCTTTGATCCCTTAGGCCTAAAAATCTGGGATTTTTACTTATTTGAGAAAGGTGGTATTCATACCCATGTTCAGACAGGATAGCAGATGCCTAAAATTCCACCGTCAAAGCTGCAAGAGGAGCTCACAGCCTGGGTGGGGTACCGGTAGGTCCTTGGGCAGAGGCTTATGTTCTGGATGAGTTTTCAGCTTCATGAAGTATTGGAACAAAGGGAAACCCAACAGCAGTAGGGAAGAAGACTGTGCGGAATTTAGAGGCGAAGGCTGGAATGACTCCAAATGTGATTATAGCAAATTTTGGATCTGCAAGAAGACTGCAGCCTCCTGCTCCAGCAGCTGAAAGCCAGTTTCTACCCTCATTCCCTATAGCC